ATATCCATCAAGCAGTTTCGAAACTTAATACTCATTATGCCCAGGCACTGCCATATATATTGAACCAGGCAGCAATGCAAAGCGCACAGAAAGCTGGGCTAACCAGCTGACCCAGGCTTCCTCCAAAACCTCCCTAGCGAGTGAGAGCTTTAGAATGCTCCGAACAGAGTCCTGAGGTGCAGCTACTGAGACATTGGTTCAAAACAGGACACCACGTTATGCTGTGAAAAACACTTAGAGACCTGTTTCTACCATCTAAACAATTATTCATAATGGGCACGAGCTGGATCAACCCACTTTTCCAAATAAGCTGTTATAGATGTTATTTTTACAGTGTACTAAAACCACCATTGGATTCTACTGATTCTGCTGGTCCTTTAAGCCAAGGAAAATGAGGAAGCAAGGAACAGCATCTTCAGTGCAACAAGATAATCTACCGCATGAACCACTATCACTTGTTTTCCACTCTGTAGCACACCATTCACTTAAACAGTGTTCGAGACAGTAAGAGTTTCCTTGTTACAATTTTTAGTTTATTTTATTGGAACAGAAATCAGAAACTCAGGAAAAAAGAGCACAATAAAAGGCCAGAAGTGGCAAGTACAAATAGAGGAATGAAGTACGTGGTTTTCTCAGCTTTCAATTACTGAGTAACGTACAAAGACAGATCTAAGTCAGTCTTTCCTTTCAGCTATTCATATGAGTAATGCTTTAAACCCCAAACCAAGTTGCAATTTTCCCTTTGTAACATATCTACCTATTTAAACTCAATCAGAGATCTATATAGCTTGAGATATTTTAAACTAGAAAAAGCCATTCAACAACTGATCTCACAGTGGACATCTACAGTCCCTTCATATTTGTCCTTGTGCTTATTCTTTGCTATGCTGTGCCACAGTCTCAACACTTCCTCTTTGTTGGTTCTGTGGAAGGCTTTCTGGGGTATTCTCTTTACAGAAAGAGACAAACTGAGTCCTGGGCTTCCACTTTCTGAGGCTGCACTCATAATAACAGGCTGCTTTCCAAGCACGCACGCTATCTCCGCTATTTCCACTCTGCTTACAACAGAAGAGTTAAACTCCACTTCCCCACCCCCCAACTAAAAAAAAAAGTAAGCTTAGCTAAGCATTTTCAGAAGGACACCTCTGTTTCTTCACATCCAACATAATTTCACTCCAACACAGTACCTCATCTGTAAGTACTACCACCCAACACACTTCAGGAATTGTGGGCACTGCCTTTTCAATGACTTTGATCAGTAGGGCTTTCTTTTGGGAAAGCTTGTTGCGATAGTGTTGCAGAGTTCATAAAATGGAAAGACCTTTTAGGAAGATTAAAGTTTGTTTCCTCGAGATACTTAATTAATCTCTGTATCTGTCCGACACCCTTAAGAAATGTGTTCCGTAATTGGGTGAAGACTAGCTGTATCCAGTTTCTGCCATTTGTTCTGTTTCGTGATCTTTATTGCCCCTGTGACTTTAAAGCCACACCTGTCAAGGGCATCCATGGACTAAAATTAATTTCTTTATGTAGCTGACTCTCAGTACCTTAATGGCTTTAAAAAAAAAAAAAAAAGTAGGATCAAAGGCCTGAAAATAATGCTGGAAGGTAACTAAGAATTGGCAAGTAAGCCCTGTGTGGCAAGAGGAACCCAAAAGCCACAGTCAGCTCTCAGTAGTTTAACTCTGAACTACCTGAAGCCAGTGCTTGAGCTTCATAATCAGATGCAGTCAATTACTCTAGCCTTATCTGGATATAACTAAGGCATGAGTTGACATGGTACCTTATCTAGGAAGTAAGGATATTTCTTAGAACATGTGAGATGAAGAAAGGTAAGAGAGATCATGGGAGATCAAGAAAGATACCCACCAATACTACTTTTTTGTTTATCTATGCTCGCTAGGGAATCAATCAGGGGTTGCAAGCCAGATCGAAGGGACGTCATGATGAAGAACAATCAGCTTGTGTCTGATCTTTTCACTCCAAAAATTTGTATGCAGTCTGACTGTTTGTTTTTTTTTTTGTGGTAGAAGAAATTGAGAACAAGATACACAGCCAAACATTACCTGGTAAACAGTGGGCAGATAAACCCCATTTTCTTGCTTTTTCTCTCCCATTAGTGGGGAAAGTCTTGTAAGAGATTCAGGAAGAAGGGCAGCACTGGTCACGTCAGGCCCCCCAGCTGAAGGTCAAAGAGAAGAAACCATTCCCTGTCATCACTGTACACAAAGTGGAGCTTTCAAAATGCTGAGTCATCAACTCTATCTGTATCAGAGGTGGACTAACAACTCATTCTATCAGACTGTAGAAGTGGAGGGGAAAAAAAAAAAGTATTGTGACAATTAAATTAGCACTGTATGGTACATTTAACTACGCTGACTTCTCTCTTAAAAAGATCACCACAGATATGTGGCTGTGGTATTCTGAGTGAGTCACTGCCATTGGAAATCTTTAAAGCTAAGAAAGAATTATTTAAAGGTTCAGAAACTGGCTGGTGAGGATAAACAGGAATATTCTAACACATATGCACAAAGAGAGATCCTATATACACTAACGATTTAGAAATTCCTAGACTTGTATTATAACATAAATGCTTTCAGATAGAGAAAAATTTTCAAGATATTTTGGAAAGATTTCACATACCCTACAACTAAGAAATACCAGTTCTTCTCCATTATTGTCTGAATTTCTACCACAAAGACTGAGAGAGTCTCAAATTTGCAACTTACATTTCAAAACTAGAGAGCACACAGTACGGTAAGAACACATTAAAAGCAAATGAACCTGCATTTAGTGCATTTCCTTTCTAGTTACTATTAAAAAAGGCAATAAAATGATTGGTACAATAATCAAAATAGGCTATCCATTTGTTGAATTGTAATGACAGTTCTGACTACAATCTAATACTTAAGAATCCACGCATCTTACAGCTGACTGGAATTTTCGGGGGTTTTAAGAGTTCACTACCACACCTAGCAATAACATTAACACTAAAAGAAGTACTATGTTCCAAGGATAGTCTAACACTCAACTAAAACAAATAAAATACAATTAAAAAAAAAAAACAAAATAGCAAAAAAACCCAAACAAACCAAGAAACACATGGCTAGATGTCTGTGCAAAGAGATACATGTATTAAACTGCTACTAGAAACATATATTACAGCTCTTAGGGGCACACCATTGTTTTTTTTTAATCCTGAACAATTCTAGAATATTTTACAGAGCACAGCACAAAGTACCATAAAAAGAGTCTGTCCTTGCAACTAACTCAACAGGATTTTTTTAAAATGTGTTCGCAACTTCATTTGAATCTCAAATTACTATTATTGTTGTTGTAAGCAGGATATGAATAACTGGTGACTAATAGCCCTGCTGTTATACAGTTTACCAGTGTACTGATGAGATTAAAAGAACAGTGACTAATAATGAGAGGTATATGCATATTCAACACTGACCTTTTTTTCTTTTTTTTTTTCCTTAACTTCTCAGTTAAGACTGGCAAAATATAGTGAATGTGGAAGTCTAACTGGTCTAAAGTGGCCTTTTCTGCACAGAAATATTAACAAGAAAATACCTGCAGAGCAAGAGTTCCTATAATCCACGATCATCCACAATTGATAGATATCATCCATCATCAATGCAAAGCCAATGGGCAAGAGAGACAGGCTTTGAACACACTTAGAATTGTTCATTTAATGTTCTTCTAGGATTTTCTCCATATAATATAAACATGTAGCAATACAAAATAATTCAGATATTTGGAAAAAGTCACTAGTTTTTCCTCCTCAATTTCTACTTTACAGCCGACAGGACTTTATTTGTTCCATGATAAGCTCCTCTCAACATCTGGAAAGTGAGAAGTTAGAGAATTTGAAATTCTACTAGTCATTTATTCACATTTATTTTCTTCCAAACTGGAATTTAGTCTCTGAATTTCAAAATTTTAAAAAAATCTAAAACATGAGGAAATTATAGCATACATTCAAGAAAAGCTCCCAGGAAAGGCTGTTAATTTTAACTCAGGACTGGGATTAAAAACTTCTCAAATTGCTCCACAGCAGCAATACTGTAAGAATTGTAAAATTATTTGTCCCAGGAAACTATAAAGCCAAGTACAAAATGACCCAGCATCAAATAACCCTTCACTCTCCTGCAGACTCAATTAGTATATTACAGCAACAACAAAAAAATACATTCTTCACACACAGATATTCCTGATTTCCAAAATATTCCAACAACATAGTTTTAAGAATGTCATCTTACTGATGGAAGCTTCAGAGTCTTTTGGCTTAAACACCATCCTTAACATTATCAATAGGCCTGCTGGGATCAACATCTGACCTCTAATGCTTGCTAAATATACTCAAAATTATCACTGAGTACATGATGCAGGGCTGGAGTATGTGTGATTTCCTTTCAGCTAGTTTATCTAGCACTTAGCATTGTTCTGTGGACTAGAACAAGCTTCCTTTTTCTAGTGTGGGTTCTACTACGCTAACAGAAACACCAACAACAAAATCATGTAGATATTGTCATGAATAAGTAGCAAAGTGCAAATATGGTAAAATGACATTATTTCTTACGGTCAGCCAAGGAAGAAAAAGACTGCGACACAGTGATGTAAGCAGATCCATACAAGTGCACAAAGCCATCATGTACAGGTCCAGAACTGGCACACATTATATATAATAATGCTTTAATTAATGAATTAAAACCCACCTTGAAACACATCAGAGATTACATTACATTAATAGCCAGACCCCATCTATTCTCTTTTCCTTCACTGTTTTTTCTTTCATATAGTATTTTTACACGACGCTATGTACTCAGAGGTTTCAGGAGGTGCCAGTAAGGTCCAATATTAGAAGACTGCGCAGACACCCGTGGGGGAGGAAGGGGTAACTCTCGTTGGAGAAGCAGGAGTCTTTACTACATGAAAATGAAATGGGCCTAAAGCTGCAGAGAGACTAAAGGTTACCTCAAATAAAAGTTGCTTACCTGATTCGTGACCTGAAAAGCAAGCAGAAAACAGGGGAGTTAAGACCCCAGTTAGATCCGCGGGCTAAGACCTCCCCCGCTCCCTGCCCCCTCCAGCCGTCCCTCAGCCCGCGACGCTGAGCCCGGAGCGGCCCCGAGCCCTCTCCCCTCCGCCATCCTCCCTCCGGCCAGCAGCCAGCAGGTAGGCAGCCCGCCCGCGCAGACCAGCACCTCCCCCCCCGCCCCCGGCCCCCCCCCCG